TAATCTGTCCATTTTTTCAAACTGGCCAACATGGAGACTTCCCTCATAATAGTGTAAAAGCCAGAAGGAAAACCACATTAACAGGTTTTATTCCTTGTTCACAGGGCTTATTGCTGTGGTCACTGTATTCTTGTCCTCCCTCAAATGCAGTCCCCCTCAACCTTGAGTCCTCCCGTCCCCCCTGGTTATAGGCCACGGTGAAGGCTGCTGTAGTGTCAAAGGGTACCTGGGACATGTGAGCAGTGTCTGCAGGATCAGGCCTGGTATCACTAACATAGAACAAGGGAGGAGGAGGTAAGTAGACAAGATTGGAAACCAGGGTTGGAGACACAACACAGGATCTGTTGAAAGCTTATGAAACGGTAGATGAAGGTGGAGAAACAAGACCAAGGATAGGCAGGCCAAATATGTTTGTGGAGCTGTCCCACCCCCAGCTTACTAGCAGCCTCTTCCTGCTCCCTTTTGGCAAGAGATGAGGGAGAGGTGATGACAGAGCCGCCATCACCAGCAATTCATTCTGGGTCTCACCAGCAATTCATTCTGGGTGTGGCAGAATGGGACAGGCTTTTTGACACTTTCTCCCCTATGCAGATTCACTGCACATCATCCCTGCACTATTGCCAGAGTCTGTTCTCCGCAAGGGATGCTGTCCAGAAGGCTCCACCGCCTTCCCGATCTGCTCACCTTTTTTTATGTCTTCATAGAAGAGGTAGAGCACACGGTGTGTGTCTTTTGCCTTCCACCAGCCTTTCACGTGATCGTACCACGGGCCCCAGCCCACTGGAAGACACAGAGTGGGGGCGATGAGGAGCACAGTGACAAATCCCCCAGCAGGAGCAAAAAACACAAAGCAACCGCTGCTACCATCACCACCAAATGCAATTTATAAACACTGTCACCAACTGCATCTGACCTTTTCCTTATTCTAACTTTCTCACACGCGCAAAGTGTTGTCATTATTGCTAGAATCAAAAAAATTAGGAGCGAAGGGTACATAGTTTTTAACTCACCTTTGCCTGCCATGAAAAGTCTCAAAATATTCCTGCCCATGTTCCGGGGGGCAGGTACCACCTTGCTCATCCTTTGGAAATGGAAATAGGACACCATGCAGTCCTTGGCGTTCCTTGCCACGTAAAGGAACTGAAACTGGGGGAAGACAAATGGGAGACATTAATGCATTTAACTAGGAGATTCAGTCATTAACAAGCTTTTGCTCCAGGAAGCTCCAAGATGACAGACCTAGGACTTCTCTAGCTCACCCAAGTAACTGGACAGCAAGCCAGACAAGTTGCCGTTCTCCACATACTCCATCACTAGGCCCACTTCATTTCCCTTCTCGTAGAGACCATAAAGACGAGGGATAGGGGCGAAAGATGCCTCATCCATGAAGCGGGCCTCAGTAAGGGCTTGCTGTCGGATGCAGGACACATTTGCGCTGGGTACATTGGTGCTTGAGGGTGAAAGAGAGTCCATGGTGAGAGTCGAAGGAAAAGTTACAAAATACTGTTGAGACACGGACTCATTGAATAATGAACTCAAGATGGGGGTTGCCTAATCAGAAGGTCTCAAGAGCTCCTGAGTCTGTCAAGAGCTGGTCTGAGTAGGTTGGGAGGAGATATGGAAAGCTGTCTCACATCAAGTCAGATCAATGGTCCACTTAACTCAGTACAGCCGAGACCAGCCTTCACCAACCCATTTCCCACCAGATTTTTTGGACTATAATTCTTATCAGTCGCAGCCAACATCTGGAGGGAACCAGGGTTCGTGAAGGCCAGTCTACACTGACTAGCAGTGGCTCTTCCAAGGTCTCAGGTAGGGCTCTCTCCCGGCCTGACCTAGACAGACAGCTCTTCTCCCAGGAACTCCATGAATAAGGAGCATTAGCTACAAAATTCTGGACATGGAACCAAGATGTCAGCAGTCTAAATTGGCCTGCCCTTGGGGTTTCCTTTGAAGGATCCAGGAAACACAACCTGGTACCATCCAAAGAAGTCACAACATACATTCCCAAGCCCTTAAAATTCTTTGCCGCATTGCTGAAGGCAGAGAGTCTGGGATTTGGGACCTTGTGGGTGCAAGATAGAGGCTCTACCACATCTGTATAACCAATTCAAGGTTAGACTACTGCAATGTGCTATATGTAGGGCTGCCTCTGAAGACGGTTCAGAAACTTCAGCAAGTGCAGAATTCAGAGGCCAGGTTGCTCTCTGGAGCAAAACAGTTTGAGCTTATTAAACCAATCCTGGTCCGACTGCACTTGGCTACCTATTCGTTTCTGGGCCCAATTCAAAGTGCTGGTTTTGACCTATAAAACCTTTAACAGCTCAGGACCGCAATACCTCAAGGCCCGCCTCTTTCCATATGAACCTTACCTGGACCCTGAGATCATCTTCTGAGGCCCTTCTTCATGTGCCTCCTCCTCGAGAGATCCGGAGGGTGGCAACAATCCGTCTGTTGGAATGCTCTCCCAGGGAAGTTCACCTGGTGCCTTCATTATATACCTTTAGGCACCAGGTAAAAACTTTCCTTTTTAACCAGCCCTTTGGTTGACCTGATCGACATCCTGTACCCTTTTAAAATGCAGCTCTTTTGGGGGTATTACTGGGTTATTGTTTTTACTTTACTTTATTATATTGTGATCTTTTACGCTGAAACCACCCTGAGACCTCTAGGTATAGGGCAGTATATAAATTCTAATTCTAATTCTAATTTTAATTCTAATTCTAATAATAATTCCACCCTCAACCACACACCCAACCACCAGCTTTACCGGTGGAAAATCTTCACCGCCACAATCCCCTTTTCTTTGTGCTGAGCTCGGAAGACGGTTCCAAAGCCCCCTCTGCCGATGTGTTGCAAGTTCTCCAAGCAGTTCTGGGGGATCCTCTCGTGGAACATCTCCAGACCAGGTGTCCTTTTTGAAGGAGCATGTGCCCCGAACGAGGTCACTCCATTCTGACTTGTGCACAAAGCAGATCTTAAGGAGGGTGAAGGAGAGGAGAGAAGGACCATTTACATATGTTAAGATATAGTATGAAACAAGTGTGTGATGTGCCGGGTAGACTAGTGAGCTGGAGCAGGGGAAACCTGAGTTCAAATCCCTCCTCAATTTGGCAACTCTACTCAAGCCAAAGAAATCTACCATCTTGTTGCCCCCAGTAGCCACCTAAATGCCAGCAGGAAGCTCTAGCAGATGATGCACTTTCACAGCATTCTTCCCTGGTATTTGGCGATATGCTGTCACCGCACAGCTAACCCATCATGGCTAGCAACTTGTTGCAAATGAATGAGCCTATCCCATTGGATGGCCATCATCTTAATGTTAAGATAAGCTAATGGCCTTTGCCACATTCTGTGACAGTAAGCTCCACAAAATCGGTTGTCTGAAGATGCCCTTTTATCTCTCCTGACATCTCTACCAACACTCAAATTTCCCTGGGTTGCCCCTTCAAATCCCACCTGAAAAATCCATCTTTCCCACAAAGATTATGGCAGTCGGCATGCCCCTGCTGTAAATAACCTTAAAAGGGTTTAAATGAAATGGATGCGCATTCTTATTCTGTACTCTCCCATCCCAGCTATGCCACATGTATTAAATTATAGATTGTAAGTCCCTCTTGGCCTCCGTAAATTATCATGCGTACTGAGGGTGCTATACAAGCCCAAATTAAGAACCGCATTTTGTCTATCCACTTTCTCCACAGTGCAAAAGCACCAGGAGAGAGAATGGCAGATGCCTGAGCTATAGCTCTGTTGTAGGCATAGTCTTCAACAAGGTGCGATGATTGACAACTCTTTAACTCATTGCTTAAGCACAGAGATCACCTTTCGGCGGCTCCTCCTGATGAAACTTCTCTCCCCAGATCCTCCTCTTCAATTACAGATACATCACCTGCTAGCACATGGGAGAACTCATTTCTTAAATTCTGGAAATTTGCAGCTGCCTCTGGAAATCTCATGATTGCAGGTGACCCTCCTGAGAGAAATTGAGAGAGTGCAGAGATAAACCAGACTTACCAGTGCCATCCTAACCGGTCTGCTCAGAAGTAGATCCTACTGAATTCAGTGGGCCTCCCTCTAAAGTTAGAGGGGTTAGGATTGCAGCCTTACTTGAACGATGGCCTATCTCTCCATACTTCTTGTGTGTGCTGGAGTAAGCTGGTTAATATGTTTCGGATATACGCTTACTACACTCAAGTCTCCCTATGAGGCTGAACACTCTGCTTTTGACTAAGCACATGTTGTAAACTTTTATGCTGTAGTGTAGACTTATATGGACTTGAGTCTGCAGGGCTGTAAAGTTGATGAGGTTTCCCCTCTTCATTGCTTTACACAGCCCCCAAAATATATACAGCAAGGAGCACAACTGAACACTGCCCACTGTCTATCCCCAAAATACACTTCTTCTTTTTTAAGTTTTGCTTTTCATTTTCATACATTGGGTCTGCAACTTATGCTCACTTTACTTATGTGATCTCAACCTTATGCAGGTGTGTGTGGGGATAAATAAATGGAAGGGGGGAAGCAGCCATTCCCTGCTCTCAATTTATTTTATTCTTCCCCCCACCTGCACCCCCCGGGCTTTCCCGCTGTGGAGAGGTTTTTTTTTTAGTCTTCTGCCTTGCCTGCTAGCCTCTGGGAAGGAGGCAAAACCTTCTCAAGAGCCCAGTAAGCAGCAAAAAGAAAGGAAGGATACAGGGAGAGCTATGGAAGTGACAGTATTCCAGAAAGAGCATTGTAATTCAAGACTATTGCCCTTCCTAAGCACTTTATCGAATAATGTTTTTCCTCAGGAACACACTTGACCTTAAACATCTCTGTAAAAAAACCAGAAAACACTTTTGCAAGGCTTTCATCCTATCCAAAGTCGCTTGAGAGAAGGCCCCATTAAACTGAGCAGATTTATCTCAAAGTAAGTGGGTGGCGCTGTGGGTTAAACCACAGAGCCTAGGGCCTGCCAATCAGAAGGTCGGCAGTTTGAATCCCCACGACAAGGTGAGCCCCCGTTGCTCGGTCCCAGCTCCTGCCAACCTAGCAGTTCAAAAGCACGTCAAAGTGTAAGTAGATAAATAGGTACCGCTCCAGCAGGAAGGTAAACGGTATTTCTGTGTGCTGCTCTGGTTCGCCAGAAGCGGCTTAGTCATGCTGGCCACATGACCCGGAAGCTGTACGCCGGCTCCCTTGGCCAGTAAAGTGAGATGAGCGCCGCAACCCCAGAGTCAGTCACGACTGGACCTAATGGTCAGGGGTCCCTTTACCTTTTTAAGTATGCACAAATAGTGCTGCTAAGCTGTGCAAACCACAAATGCACCATGAGAAACATTAGAAGTGCAGCGGCCTAGCACAAAAATGTTTCACTTCTGTCCAATTGTTCCAAACAGCTGACGGAAGCCGTATATAATGAAAGTGTTTAATTTTTTCAAAAACGTCCCTACTAGACGCTCCAAATAGGACTCATTGTAAGTCTGAACACTTCTGACAAAGGCATGTGCTGAATAACTGGCTGTGGTAAAGTTATAATTGTCAGAAAAATCATTCCTTGGTCAAGTAGAAGAATGTGGCCTTGTGGGTATTTTATCAGCCGCTAGGACCCTGGGAAAGGGAGCTGTGTATCTTTAAACCCAGACTTTTTGGCTCCTTGCCATGAGAGGTTTATGGGAGGAAAGGGGTCCTTGATTAATGGAAGATTTGACACCTGGGCTGGTGGTGTGAATCTCTTCCTCCTTCCCGGAGGTTGTTTGTTTTCAAATTGCTGAGAATTGGGGATCTGGTTAATTTCCACAGGTGGGAGGAAGATTCTTTGATTAAGGGTTCAAACCTAAAACTGACCCAGCTGCAAAAGAATGAGCTGATCAAATTAAGACTCATGATTGGCCCAAAAGTTACGACGCTAAGTCAGAATTGTGGATAAAAGATCAAGGGATGTTTTGTTCGATGCTCTATGCCATTGCTCTGCAACTCGCAAAGATGCCCGGCTGTAACCTCCATCCTTAACAGCCGTTTCGTCCTTTTGAAATGGAAATCCTCAACTATCTCCATTATGCAACAGCTTGAAAGGACTCTCTCTTCTCTAAGTGTGTTCTTTTGTGAGTATGTAAAGCTAGTTATAATGTACAGCGTTGTTATTTTGATGTTTGTAAGACTCCTAAGAAGTGCCTGTTGTTTTTCAACATGTTTTCAGTTATTCTTTTAAAAATAAACTTTTATAGTAGAACCTGTTGGTATTTGTGCCTTTTCCGGGGAATAGCTAAATCCAAGCCTTCTGCTTAGTCACGCTATACCGAGTGAACTTCTGCCTGCAAGCCTGTGGGTGCAGCTTGTAAGGAGGGGGGATTGCCAGGTTAATTGGACACACTCTTCTCCCTGGATTGTGTCTCTGGGCTCCCCTGAATTAAAGGGAGTGGTGGCAGCCTTACCGGTGTGATTTCGGCCTGTGTTTGAGAAAAGTAACTCCCTTGCCAACCTGCTCAAGAAGCCTGGACTGGCCGGAGAGCAGAGTCGGGTGATGGAGGGGTAGTGTGGGCGAGTGGAACGTTACTACACTGGCTATTTAAAAGTAGAACTGTGTCTTACCAGTTATAGCCAAAGGGTTTAATTGGTCAATGTCTTCAACTTCTTCATTTTCTTGTCCGTTCTCAATCATTCTCTTTCTGATGCGTTTTCTGCCATCAACCATTTCGATTGACGTGGATACACACTTGAAATCTCCTGCCCCAAGAGCATCAAATGATGCAGAGAGCGTGAGAGAGAATGAAATAAGACCCCCTTGTCTCAAATGGCGAAGCGAAGCAAAATCCCTCCCAAAGGAAGGAAATCTACAGGAGGCTCCATTTCTGTTTCCACACTGCCATTGTCCATGACCACACCAGCCATCGAAGAGGCCTGGGGAACAACAAAAATCATAATGAAAACGCTCTCTATAGACATCATTAAGGTGGGTCTAAAAAAATTAAATCCTTCCCTAAAATAGGATTTTTTCCCCTACACTGGCACTATGAAACAAAATCAAGGGGGAGGTGAGGGGAAAACAAATCTGAAAAATACTGACTCAGAGGCTGTTGGTGTATTGTAATACAGAGTTCTGATGCACCTGGACCAGGTAAGAAACAAAAACTCCTCCTTTCTCCGAAACTCTGAAAGATCCTCTTTCAGATGAGATGCTCTGGACTACCAAGAATAGTTTTCCTTCACCTCTCAGACTTCCCACACCCAGCAGCTCAGTGTGCACCCGGGGCTCCGCTCTCCTTACCATCATTCTCTGTGATAGCGAGAAGATTCCTCTCCAGATCTCTTTGGTTGATGGATTTCAGCACTGTGAGGACCACCTCCACAGCATAATGCTCATTGTAGTAGCCAAGCAGCAGCTGGGTCAGGTCCATGGGATCTGCCTTCTCCAATCGCCCTCTGGGGATGTTGCTGTAGCCCTCCTTGATTGGGAGTGAGTTGAGATAGTACTTGAATTTCCTCAAATTGTAATTTGCCAAGTTCTCTAGGGTGCCCAAAAGACGGCTGTGCGTGGTCTTCGCCACTGTACTCCTTCTGCAACAAAATGGCAAAGCAGAAGAAATGTCAAAGTTAGGCAGAAAGGGGAACAGTCTCAGTCTACTGCAAAACCAACAACTCTGTGTGATGCTGGCTGGAGGTAAAGGGCATGATGTCAGCATGAAACCTACACTTTCTCAAGCTTTCTATCCCCAGGGATATGCCAACAACTAAATAGCGGCAGATTGAGGCAGAATTCACTGTAATTAGCATGCTATTACCGGCATTATATCTATTCCAGCTTCAAAAATGACGAAATTATTTGCTGCTGCATTTTCCTTGCGGCTCAGTTTCCATCAGATAGGTATCTGCTCTGTATTGTGACAGCGTCCCCGTTTTAGGCAGAATTTGCGGATCCAGAGGGTTATTATAGCCAACGCTAGTCTCAATGGGTCAAAACAGGCCCATAGAAACTCATGGATATAATTAATTTAGGTTTGGAAATTACAATAGGTTTACTCTGAGTAGAACTTAGTTGAATATAGCCCAGTGATTCTAAGTGAAGAAAGTTATTCTTTTCTATTTTCTTTTCTGTCTCACCTCCACGTGCCTCTCAAAGTATTTTTACCCATCTCCTATAATTTCTTCTCCAATTCCCATTTCACACTCAGCTTGCGCCTTATTCTACTTAATACAAAACACCAACAGAGAGGGACAGTGTTGCAGCGGTAGCTGAGGTGTAAGTGTGGCATGGAGCAAGGAGCGCAATAAAGTTGTGTGGTTCTTGGCAACAAGAACTGTCCATTGCTTAAGCACTGAGATTACCTCCTGGTGTTTTTTTCTGACGAAACCTTTCCTGCCATATTGTCTTTTGTCTCTACCAAATGAGATAACTCTCCATCCAACACTTCAGTAACCTTGATTTTTAAGTTCTTGCAACTGGCAACGGCCTCTGTCTCTCCGATGGTTGCAGATGATCCTGTTGATAGGAAAAAAAGCCTTACTCAAGAATATTTCCTGTGCAGGTAGATACTCACAGAAAACAAATTCAGTGCCCAATGCCCACACAAGATTGCTTTTCACCTGCAATCATGTAATATAAAAAGGAAGTGGGGAAAAAAAAAGATAATCTCAGCAGGTGGAAAACTTAATCCCCCGGCAATTAAGGTGAAAACTGGTATCATTAGTGCAAATGAGCTGTTTATAAATACTTTACCTTAGCTGCCATTTGAAGTCTTTCCAAAATGTTCCAATGAAATGCTCAAATTGGTGTTCATTCAACATTTATGTTAAACATCTACATTTACTAACTAGTTATTTAAAAGGAGAAACCACTTCTTACCATTTATAGCTAAAGTACTTGACTGGTCAACTTCAACTTCTACTCTTTCTTGTCCATTTTCAACCATCCTCCTTCTAGTAATGCTTTTGCCACCGACTGTTTTGGTTCTGGTCGATGCAAACCTGAAGTCTCCCATCCCACAGCTGTCAAATGAAGTGAAGAGCCGGAGAGAGAAGGAAGGATCTCTCAAAGAACGAAGTGAAGCAACATCTCTCTCAAAGGGAGGATTCGCTCTTCCACCAATGTTTCTGATTTCTCGCTGCCATTGCCTCAGACCAAAGCAGCCATCGAGGAGGGCTGGGAACATTAGAAGAAAAGTTCACATTGAAAAGGGTCTCCAATTAAAAAAACCAAACAGCAGCACAGAATTCCCCCTGTAGGAACTGCTAGATTATAATCCATAAGAAAAAAACTTATAAATAAAATTATTAATAAAAGTATTCTTAAAAGTATTTAATAAAATTATTCTTAAAAGTATTTAATAAAATTGTTAATAAAATTATTTTTAAAAGTATTTAATAAAACTGTTAATAAAATTATTAATAAAAATAAAAATGTGGAGATTATAGAACAAAATTAATCTGGTAGGTGAAGTGAAAGAAAGGTTAAGTCCTATGCCAGCCTGTTGACTTAGGAGTTTTTATCCACCTTCACCTGCAGCAAGGAAGAGGGATACACCTGGGCCAGGTAAAATCCCCAAACTCTCCTGCTTTTAGCCTGTCCCACTTTCAGACGAGATGATCTGGACTCACCAGAGCAGATTTCCCCCACCACTAAGACCCCCCCCCCACGACCCCCACCCGGCCCAGTGTGCTTCTGCGACCCCCGCCCCTCTCCTTACCACCACCGCCTTTGACTCGCAGGAGCTTCTCCCGCAGGTCTCTCCGGTTGATGCATCCCAGCACCTTGAGCGTCACCTCCACAGCGCCATCCTCGGCGTAGTAGCCGAGAAGCAGGCGGCACAGGTCCAAGCGATCCGCCTTCTGCAGCCGCCCCTTGGGGATGCTACTATAGCCCTCCTCGGCCGGGAGCGCGTTCAGATGGAACTTGAATTGCTTCAGATCGTACTCCTTCAAGTCCTCCAGGGCGTCCGCCAGACGGTCGCGGACGGTCCTCTTCCTCTCCTCCGCCATCGCGTTCTCTCCTTCCCCGAGGAGAAAGGGAGCAAAGAGAAGTCCGACTCCGCTGCTAAACTTGCCCCCGACGGCTGCGGGGGGCGGAGGGGGAGAAGGCAGCAGCTCGAAACCCCGCCGTGGGCCAAAGGCGGCGGGTGGGGCGCCGTCTGTTAAAGGCAAGGATCCGCTTTCGCTTTCAGTTCCCTCCTCCCCCCTCCCTCTGTCCCGGAAGGATAAAAGTGAAGCGGGCTGGCAGTGGTGTAAACCGAGGAAGAAGTCGGGCCCCAGGCAAGCCGGTGCAGCAGGAAGCGGAACGGCGGATTTGGGCAGCGAGGCGTCGAAGGAGACGGGCTTTCTTCTTGTTGCAGCCTGGAAATCCAAAGCAGGCTTAGCCTCCAGCGCCTAACCCCGTCGTATAAACCACGGACTACATCGCAGGGTTGTCGTACTTTCCCATACCCTACGACATTTCTCCAGTAGAGAAATAGAGACATCCTAAGGACGCGGGTGGCGCTGTGGGTTAAACCACAGAGCCTAGGGCTTGCCAGTCAGGTCGGCGGTTCAAATCCCCTCGACGGGGTGAGCTCCCCTTGCTCGGTCCCTGCTCCTGCCAACCTAGCAGTTTGAAAGCACGTCAAAGTGCAAGTAGATAAATAGGTACCGCTCTGGCGGGAAGGTAAACAGCGTTTCTGTACGCTGCTCTGGTTCGCCAGAAGTGGCTTAGTCATGCTGGCCACATGACCCGAAAGCTGTATGCTGGCTCCCTTGGCCAGTAAAGCGAGATGAGCGCGGTAACCCCAGAGTCGATTATGACTGGACCTAATGCTCAGGGGTCCCTTTACCTTTAAGGGTAATCAAATCAGAAACTGGGACAGGATTGTGTAAATTTAGGGCTGTCCCTGAAAACAGGGACACTTGCAGGGTCTGCTTTCTTCTCATTGCCCACCCAGTTGCTGGACGCTGGGCTGAGCTGCAGGACTGTCATTGCCACTTTGTATCTTTATCCACTGGCAGGGGATTTTTTTTTTAATGGTAAAACAGGAAACACTTCTTACATTGACACTTAAAACACCCAACTTCCTCCGAAGAATCCTGAGGGAGTTACTTACTGAGTTTGATTTTGGTTGTGGCTAATGGGAGTTGTGGTCCAACACATCTGGAAGGCACCAAGTTGACAAAGGCTGGTCTGGAACCTACAGTATGTACTTGGGAGACTGTATCTCCTGGTGTTTGTGTTGGGGGTTAAGCAACAGCTCTTGCAATGTTACCTGAACCAGTGGAGGGCGATCAGACAGAAAGGCAGCCTTGTACCATGGGGGATGCCGATGCTGTGGCTTCAACAAGCACAGAGTTTATCATAAGTCAGAGAACTAGATGGGTTAAGAGCTTGAGACAAACCCTTTGTGATCTTTTGCAAATTTATCAGTTCTCTGCAGATTGAGAAGCTTGCACGTTGTGCAAAATCATGCTCTCCAGCTGCTTTGAGGGTGTGGCAGTGCTCAGAATTGTGTGGGGAAATCACCTGTTCCTGAGAGCAGGTCGGAAGTTGTATGCTTTAAATCCCTGGTTCTCAAACTTTCCCCCCTCACAGACCATTTAAAATTTTCTGAGGTTCTTGGTGAATCACCTGGGTCTCCTGCCTGTTGCAGCAGTTGTGATGTGCTAGATGCTGTAAACGGCGTTTCTGTGCGCTCTGGTTTATGTCATGGTGTCCCGTTGTGCCAGAAGTGGTTTTGTCATGCTGGCCACATGACCTGGGAAGCTGTTTGCGGACAAATGCCAGTTCCCTCGGCCTGAAAGCGAGATGAGCGCCACACCTCATGGTTGCCTTTGACTGGACTTAACCATCCAGGGGTCCTTTCCCTTTTCCCTAGAAGCTGTATGTGCCGAGAACCATTGTGGTGTAAAGGTTAGAGCATTGGAATGGTGCTCACTGGGTGCCCCTGGGCCAGTCACTGTCCCTCCGCCTAACCTACCTCACAGGGTTGTTGTGAGGATAAAATGGGAAGGGGGCATCCATGTATGTCACCTTGAACTTCACGGAGGAAACATCAGTATATAAATAGCTAATAGTTTAGTTTTATTGCTTCTTTTATTATATTGTACTTCATTGTATTACCCATTTGAATTCCATAGAATTCAGATTGCAAGTGGTCTTCCAGGATGAAGCTCACCAACCACAGTTTGCAAACCCCAGGTCTAAACAAATGCTGTGCACCATTTCAGCAAAAAGGTTGCCCTAAAAGTTGCCCACAGATGTGTGTTACAATGTGCATGTCTGAACCCACATGTTTGTCCAGCATGGACCTAAAATAGGAATGTAACTTTTGGCACAGAGTCAGGGTGTGCACTCATTAAAATGCATTAATACCTTCAACCCTTACACCCAATAAAGAATTTGTCACACCAGGAAAGAGTGAAAGATTGGTTTATTACACTTGGAAAGGAAAGACAAAGAATGTATGTGCTGCTTTAGGCTGTGAATTACAAAATATGGGGGCAGCAAATAATCATGGATACAATCACATACCTGAATGCTATAGAGTAAAAAAGTCCCTCACTGCCCCAAAAGGTATATATCATATAATTAAGCGGTTATAGACAACTAATAATGCGTATGGCTACTGACTAGGACTACTTTAGCACAAGGCGTTTACACTTTTACCATAATCTGAAAAATGAAAACACATCATTGTTTTGCTAATTTCAACATGCAACCTTGTCATATTATGCGCAGAGTCACATTATGTTTGGCAGCTGTGCATAACGTCTGAGATTTTCATACAAAAATGGCACACATTTAATAAAATTGGATGCAATCTGTGAATGTAAAAACTTGTTTGAAATCACTTTAAGGCAAGCATTCTGATGGCAGTGTTGGTTACAACTTGTATCTATCTTTTAAGGCCTGCAATGCATGTTCTTTGGTTATATTTCCCCAGTCCTCTGGCAGATCAGCTGGTTTAGCCTTGTACTTTCTGGCAAAGTCATCATTGAACATTTTGAAAATGTACTTCCAGTAATCAGAAGCTTTGATACTGGGATCAGGTTGGATACGCCAGTCTGGATAATACTTACGATACTCTTTGTATGGGTGCCATTCATAATTTGTGTCCTGATTTCGGAACACTTGATCGGTGGACACATTGGTGGAGCACAGAGAACATATCAGCTTTTCTGAATCTGTATATCTGAATCTTCCAAATCCTTGAGGTCGATGGATTGTTGCAAAATGCTCCCGATGAGCGCTCCCTCCAGCTTCACAGGGGGTGTAGCAGAAGGGACACTGCTTCCCACAGCCAAACATTTGTTTGAAGATTTCGTCTTGGGGCTTCACAGGCAGTTTGGAGAATTTGGATTTGATATCCAAGTCTCTAAACCTGCTTAATATTTGTTCTTGCAAATTAGGAAGGAAGCTTTCAACAAAAGCAAAAAAGTGGCCAGGATCAAATGCCTGTTTCATGTGTGTCCCCACTAAACTATCCTTACGAATGACTAACTCCTTCTGCATTTCTTGGGAAAAATCCTCCACAAATTCTGAGATTGTCGCAGCACCTTGATGCCTCAGCTTGTTCAATGTTTTTCCAATTCTGTCTAGTATTGCAGAGAAAATGTTTTCCTCCAGATTCTTCAGATCCTCATTTTTTGTATAGTAATCCACCATTTTTTTCAATATCCAACTCTTGACAAACTTTTCATAGGTTGTGATGTATTCAACATATTGGTCAAAATCCCACTTATTTAACAGATCCTTCAGGATAGTAAACTGGAAAAAACTCCGAGAGCCAAAGTCAATAGACTGCTCACTATTGTGAAAGTTGTCCACTATTTCCACCCCAAGTCTATTGTTGACATAATTCACTATAGCAGGATGGAGACACATTTCACAGAAATCTTTAGCTTGGATTTGATGGGCATCTTTTTCCTGATAAAGATCTCTGAAAATTGCAAAATAGTGGGGTTTCAGTTTTCCCAGGCGCATGTGAGGATCATTTTCCTTAACAAATTCTTCGTGTCTCCTTTGAAATGCATGAGCTGCTTCTCCCAAGATGTGGAGCTTAAGGTCCACTTCAAAGCCAGGGGTTGTATGAAGATTTCGAACATCAGGCTGTTGAAGCGTCTCATTGATCATACACCAAAGGTCAATGCAGTAGGTTTCATCATAATCTCCTTTAGAATTGAGCTTTTCATCAATATATGAAGTGCATTTCGACAACAAGGAGTTAGCAAAAACTTTTATTATATGCATATAATCAGTCTGAGAATTAGAATTAAATATACGTTTCCAAAATGGTGGTTGTACATGGTCATTTTTAATTTCAAAAGTGTGTATTCTGTAATTTAACAATCCTCTTTTTCCTGCTAATTTTTGTGTGTATAGTTTCAAATGAGAGTATGAATTCTTTCTCAGATATGACTCAACTTCTGCATATATGTCACGTTTCTCTAAGGAAACGAGTGGTATTTCCAACAAAGTTTCTCTCCACATTTCTTCAAACTCTCTTTTTAATTCTTCTTCTTGTAATTTCTGCTTTTTGCCTCTGCATTTTTCAAGCAGCCTGTCAACCTTTCCTTCAATTGTTTTCTTGTATTGTGCTTGAAGAGCAGCAATTTTGTGTAGACCATTTCTAATCTGAATGGCATCTCGCAGTTTGTTAGAAGAATAATTTTCAAGTTCACGCTTGAGGCTGTTGGCACTCCTGACAAAATCTTCCTTGTACTTTTCTACCAGATGCAGATTTGCTGCTTCGCTCCTGAAGTATTTATTCAAACTCTCCAAAATCTGCTCTTCCCCACGTGATAGGTTTTTTTGAAGTTCACATTTCAAATGACTGAAAGCAATTTTATCAGGTGACACATTCTGAATCAGAGTTTCCTGCTCAGATACCCAGAGGTGCATCTCTCTGCGGAAATCCCTGTCCCATTCAGAATATTTAATGGAGAGGTTGTTGTATGCTTCAGCTATAAGACTATTTTGGAAGCTAAAGATGAAGTTCTCATGTTTCACAGCATTCCACAGGCTCTTCACCCATTCAACGAAGTCAAGAATATTATTGGAAGACCTGTCACGTGCATGGTCTCTTATGAATTCAAAAAGGCACTTCTTTAAATCAAAGACCTTTTCACTATACCCCCTGTTGACAGGGGCCATTGGTGGGACGCCATGCCAAAGACCAGGGATGTACCAATTATTTGTTTCTGGGTTATACTCCATGATGTCTGAAAACTTGATATCCCTCCCAATATTTTCCATTTTTGCTGCAGCCTGGGTCATTTCATTCAGCTGTTCTAAAAGGTGCTTCCTGTCCCTCATGTTTTGGTCATGTGCAGAAACATCACTGACGTTTTGGTGAACAAACTGGCAGCTGGGGCTTTGCCCAATCTCTTCCATCCTGAGGAAGGCATGGGTCACAATTTGCAGGATGTCCTTCATTTCGGTGGCATT